GTAAATTTTTTGTCATACTCTTTTGTCATACAGCAAAAACAGCCGTTTAACTTGTTATTCCCTAGGGAGTAGAAAGCCTAGGGACTAACTAGGAGTACAAAGTTTTTTTTCTAGGTAGTAAAAGTATAGATAAAAGGTAAAAGTATCGGTTGTAAAGTCAGTTGGAAACTTCGATTATGAACAATCGCATGTTTCGAAATTATGTACCGTTATATCGCCTGTAGCGTACTGTTGCAATCTTGTAAATAGTATTAATGCACACTAACACAATCGTAATAAACGATACGTATTGAACTTCAAATTAATCAGCTGCTTAATTATTCTTGGCAATCTGATAATAAACAAAGTTAGGTTAATAGAACAGGAGGCTTCACACTGCTATCAAAGCGTATCCGTAGAGTGCGCTCTTTAATTGGTAATTATTTCTTGTCCATACTCGGTGACGAGGATACGATGAAAAGCGTACATAGTGTTGAAAAGTAGTTTCCAAGTTGTTGGAAATCGTACATGGACCATGATGCATAAAAAATGCTAACAACGTGTTACTACTCCACAGTTAAATAAATGTTTTCTGTTAACGTGTTTTAGTTCCGTACACATGAGTAATTTTGCAGATGTTTCCTTCTTTGTGCTAAATCAAAATGTTTTACTTTTAGTTCAAGTACCTCCTAAACGTTGTTCTAGACCAAAAGTAGTATAAATGTATAGGAACTGTAACCGAATACGAAAGTCGAACAGATAACAAATATTATACAATCTATCACGTGTAGGCTAGAAAAAATCTATTTGCCATGAACTATTATTGTTGCATAAGCAACTGCATCTGCTGAAACAAGGGTTGTGCAAGGCTAAAAGGCATCAAGCCCTACAAGACTGGATAATCTAACAGGCTGCAGTGATCCTCTTTGATGTGTAAATTTGTACAAAGGGTCTGAGAATGCAGCCAGGTAAGCGATTCTACTATAGAGTACAGCTTCATCTGCTCGTCAAAAGAAAACGCTTTGAATCCTATTACAGCTCACTGCTCTAAATATTATCATGTTGGTTCAATCTTTCAACTAAGGGGACTAATGGTTATATTGGTCAATCTTTCAACTGATGGGACAAATAACGATGGGACAAATAACTTCCAACTAATAGGACAAATAAGCAATATCAACGATGGTATGGTGATATTGGTTTAGTTCAAGAATGTGTTGGACTTAAATTACAAGATATAGGCGTTAGCTTTTACATCCATAGTTGAATATACACTATAGAATGAAAATAAAGAACTATTACCAGATATGTTAAGAATTCGGTAGTTTCATATAACGTAAACAGTTTGCTACGGTCTCATTTACAAGAAAAATATATGTTCTGTATTTTTGAGTTTTTAAATGTAATTAATTTACATACATTCTATGAGCTTAAAGGAATAACGAGCCACAAAAAAGCAGATAAGAAACAAAGCTCATTTACTTCAATCGTATAAAAAACCATTACAAGAAGAGTATATTTATTTTAAACTAGCTGACCCGACAAACGTTGTCCTGTCCTAATGTGGTATTATGTCAAATGCTCGTTCATTTTCAAGATGAGCTCGTTCGCATGGTTCAATCACGTCCTGGTTGAAGTTCGTTCGCTACACTCACTCACCTTTAGGCTGGAGCTCGTTCGCTGCGCTTACTTGCCTTCAGGTTAGCTCGATCGCTATGGTAACTCGCCTCCAGGTTGAAGTTCCTTCGCTACGCTCACTCACCTTTTGGTTGCAAATTATAGTTCGGCCGCTTAGAAAGCACGCAGGTCGTTTTCTATGCGGCCGAACTATAGCTGTTTTTTAACTTTAAAAAATAATAGTGCTGCACCCTGTTGGTAAACATATTAACTTTTTAATGCTTTTGAACATCACAGAATCAAATTGATTAGTTGAACCAGCTGTTAAGATTCGTTGATTCCATTTAAATATGAGTACTCATAAGCTTAACATGGGAAACTCCAGAGCCACTGGGGCAGAGCCCTTTTGACGGATCTGCACCAAACTTCAAACAAACCATCCTTGAATAATGCTTAATAATGCCTGAAAGATTCATTACAATCTGTCGAGCGGTTTCGGAGTCCATAAAGGACAAACATACATACATACAAACAAACATACATTGGATTATATACAGACTGTCCCAAAAGTCCCGGACCGTTTTAATATTTCCTAAACGACAACAGATAAATCAATAAAATTTTGCACATTAACACCACACTAAAAAATCTACTTTTTTAAGGAACTATCAGTTTTCTGTCATATCATGGGGACGTCCCACGAGGAGTCAGAAGGAAATCTTAAATAGGAGCATAGGTCAATATGCACATCAGTTTAAAGGGCTTAGCTAGCAGAGTTCAATGCCGGAAACCGCGCCTCGAAAGGATCACCCGTTACAAAATGGCGGCCGTTCAAAGATTTCTTGAACCTGCCATTTTGAATCTTTGAACGACTGCCATTTTTTACTCAGGCGTTCTTTTGAGCTTGAATTTACGGCATTGTAATCTACTAGTGAAGACCTTTAATTTGATGTGCATATCGACCTATGCTTACGCTAACAAAAATGTTCTGACTCCTAGGGCTCTGCCCCCAAATGCAAATTAAATGAATCTTTGAACCACTGTTACTCTTGACTTGGTTGTCCGTTTGAGTTTAAATTTGCAGCATTATATTCTGCTAGTAAAGACCTTTAATCTGATGTACATGTCAACCTATGCTTCTATTTAAGATTTCCTTCTGACTCCTTGTGGGACGTCCCCATGATGTGACAGAAAATTTATATTTCCATAAAAAAGTAGATTTTTAGGTGTGATGTTGATGTACCAAATCTTGTTGATTTATCTGTTGTCGTTTAGAAAATATTAAACCGGTCCGGGACTTTTGGGACAGTCTGTATATATATAGATATTTCAAAAACGTGTTTACTATTTATTACTAACACAAACACATTTTACCAAATCCTACTTTTAATTGTGATTTTATATTTGAAGAGTCGACGTGTCAATCAGATCCATAGGAGCGAGGTCTCGGGTTCACCACGCTATGTCACCACTGAAAGTTTTAGAAAAATGAATTATTATCCTCTATTTGCTCACCCCTTGATATGCTCGACAGTTCTTGACACATAATGTGTGTAAATGGAAGGTTAAACGATGGCGCTAACCTAAAATAAATGTAATAATTTGCACCAAACAGTAAGAAAACCAATATGGTGGCAAATCTCTTTTAATATTGTCGAGTTTATTTCAAATTCATATTGGATTAGTAGTTATTAGATTGAACAGGACCATTAGTCGTACAAAGTGCATCACTGGGATGATTGATCATAACTACAGAAGCTCGAGGGACGCCACCATCCATCAGCGAGTGAACCATCGTTCTTTCCGCTTCCTGATTGTGCTTTTGTTTTCATGACGTAAATAATAACAGTGGGATAAAATGCATTTATTGTGTTTACAATTAGATTTTCAATTGTTGAGTGGATTTGATTGAACCACTTACATTCCTACGGCAAACAATTATTTGTCATTTTGCTTGAACAAAACAAGGAGTGTTTTGAAAAATAATTAACAAATATTAAGTGGTTAACAAGATATTTCACATTTTACAATCAAAAATAAGCCCACGATGGTTGAAACTAAAATAGATGATTGGAAGATCCATATTTTAGGACCTTATCAGTTTTTTTACCAACCAACCAGAGCAATGGGAGTTCAAATAATTGGTGGCAATTGGTTGAAATTGCGTGACATTTAGGTTTTACTGTACTTGATTGTGCTTGGAATTGATCAAAGCAGTCGCAGTATTAGCATTGATATTGGATAGTGGTCAAAGGTATTAGGAAATCATGATTTCACGTAAAATCATGTTAACCACACTAACAAAATTATAGGTTTTTCTTTTGTTGACCAACCATGCTCGGTACAAAATAAAGGTACTTTCCTGTTAAAGGGAACATTCATTATTATCGATGATTTTTAATTGATATATCGATATTTTTCTTTCCTTTACGATCCATTACAAATTGACAACTATCTTGATTAGGCTAAAATCAAGTCTATTGTGGATTAAAACTGTTCTAAGCTAACCTAACATAACCAACAAAACTTGCTGTACTATTTTAAAAATTCCGTTTGATTACAGAAAAGGCATGAGGGGAATATTAAACGGAATTTTAAAATGTTACATCAAGTTTGGTTAGTTTTGTTAGGTTAGTTTGGAACGGTTTCATTTCAATATTTTTTTTTTTACTGAACAATATTTATTTATCGTAGTTGTCAGCTGATACGTTTCAATTCGTTAATATCGATATATCGATTGAAAACCATCGATAATAATGAATGTTCCCTTTAACAGGAAAGTACCAATAAACATATGTATCATTGAAATTAAATGTATTTTCATACATTTCTTAAACAACATGAATGAATAAAACTGGAAGAAATTCACTATGTACTGCACATGTGTCCATTGTATTTGCCTAACTTCTATTTACAACAACAGGCCTTTGTCGGATGTTTAGTTTAATGAAATAACAATACTCACACTACATTTACATCCATTGGAACTAGCTTTTCAAAACTAGGAAGCAAAATAACAATCACTTATCCTGTTTGTGCAAAAAATTATTAATATAGAACCTATCTAGATCAATAATTTCTAGCACGAAAATGATATAGTAAAATTAACATCATTTTAATACTCTACTACATCTAATGCTAGATATAGTTAATTTTAATTTCAAACAGCATTTTATAAATTAAACAAATTTAAAACATAATCTTATGTATTTTTATGAAACAATAACCAATGACTGAAACTAATGCTAAAATCAGTGGTGGTTTCCTGAAACTAATTGATTAGATATTGATAAATTCCTAAATGTCTGTTTAAAACTAACCTTAAACTAACTACAGTTGGCAAATATATAACATATGATTACATCACAAACACATTGTTTATGTTGTCATTTTCGATTAAATTGCTATGTTTATTTGAATCATCGTTAGTAAATCAAATGTATGCCGATTGGGGATAATTTCAAGTTCATATTTAAATTTGTTTTAATGTGTATCTGTCTTCTTTATGTCTGTATGTAAGTAATAAGTATAAGTTTTGTAAATAATTAATTTTAATCAACTACATTAATGATTTGACAATCCATATTTAGCCTTATGCATGTTATCCATATCTAACTACTATTTAATTCGGCTGCACTTTACTTTAGGTCCTACACAAACAACCGAATGAAAATATCGACTATTCGATTATTTCATTCGATATATAGTTTGGTTAGTTAGGTTAGGTTAACCTTACCTAACTAACCAAGCGATATATCGAATAATCGATATATCGATCGATATTTTCCTTCGAATGAGTGTAGGACCTAAAGTAAAGTGCATCCTTTAATTCCTGTAACTTGACTCAAAGGCTACCAAACAAAACACGAGCCGATATTTTGGTGGATTGTCTGTCACCAGCATATAACCTAGTTAGATGTATAAGAGGAATATTGTTTAAAAACATTATTAAATATGAAGAATTAAATATAATATGGTAATCATTAAAATCTTGAATCTCTACTTATTTTTAAAGATTAATGATTGAATGTTTAAGCACAGCAAAAAGAAGATTCAAGGGTACAAAAATCATATACACAATTGATCAATAGTTATAATTTAAAAGGTCAATGTGGCATTTTATTTTCATAAAAAGTCTCCAGAGTATATTAATTGGCCTGTTAGTACAGTACAAGGTCAGAGCTATAAGTGTCAGCGGTGTAATTTAGTAATGTTTTAATGTATCTTGCAATCCTAACTTTTGTTGGTAGGAGTAGGCACTCTGATTAATTAGTAATGACTGACTAAATGTAATTTTATAAAAGCTTTATTTCACAATAAAATTCAAAATAACAACACCTAATAAAGTATAGACAAAAACTATGCAAAATAGTTAATATAAGTTAAGTTGAAGAGAACTTGTAATGTATAATTTTCTGATTAGGTATGCTACATTATTTTAGTATTTTTATTATAATAAGTACATAGTGTCTATTGTATTTTAACGTAATTGCACTACCACTAATAAACTAAAATCGTAGATCAAAACTGGCTGACGCATTGAAAATGGGAAACAAACCAAATCGCTTTGGCACAAATAAAAAATCTTACCATGGTAAGTTAAATTTTTTTTAAATCTATTTAGTTAATACGTTGTAATGTGTTACAGTGGATTTAAATATGGACTTGTGCTTTACAATCACAATGTATCAATACCTTTTGACTCACTGACTGACTGACTTACTGACTCACTCACTTATCATTAATTCTCCTACATACCACTTACCTAGAAGACTGAAATTCGGCACACTCGTTCTTTAGGCATTAAATAGGAAAACCAAGTAGTCTTTACCCTGATGTGACTTTAGGCTCCACCCCAGTGGCTTTGGAGGTTCCCCATATAATCTTATGATTTTTTAGCGAATTTCCCATAGGGAATAAGCTATTACCGTAGTACTCATGGTAAGACCTGGACGCGGGGCCGATTTTTTTTTCGTTATGAGGTCCCTAGAGGCCAAAAACACCATCCGTTCAAATTCATATATATATATATATATATATATATATATATATATATATATATATATTTATATATTTATATATATATGTGTCCGTCAGCACGATAACTCGAGCAAAAATGATCCGATTTTGATGAAATTTGGTACAAACGTGTAAACCTACGTTTTTTCGAACGAGTTCGCGATCCAGCATGATCGGACCATGGGAACGGGTGTTTACGTGGGGTTTTATGGGGTAAAAATAGGTTTTTCCCATTTTTGACCCAAAAAACATAAAATTTAGCAATTTATTTCCAAACCATTTTGTAGAGCTTCAAAAAACAAATAATTTAGTATATTGAAGCGTTATTATGCGCCTAATGGTTACGGAGAAAATTCCAAAAAATTGTAAATTTAAAATTCCCATGTTATTCTTATGGAGAATGAGTAAACTGTTGTAGTTTGCTTGTTTATGAACATATTTTGATCAAATTTGGAAAATGTTTTTATTTCTTACTACCTATTAACATTTTACAAAAAAAAAACTGTTTTACCCTCCCTGATGCAGCAAACCTAAGTACTTGTTAAACTAATTCTATTTAAATCGGGAATAAATGTTATAATTTTAAGTAGACATTTCAGTGTAAATCCAATCAGTCAAATGGAAATTCGCTTAGTCTGCAGGTTTGCTGCGGTGGGAGTATTTTATATTTAAAATAAATCAATGAATCATAACATCTGTTTCAATTAAACAAGTTGGTGCTATGATGTTTAATAGCATTATTAAGTTACAAGGTTTACCAACAGGGTGCAGCACTATTAACTTTTTGTTTGAACTTATTGTAACAGCTAATTTGAACAGAGTAGCAACAAAAAGCTATGACACACAATGGCAACTGTCAAATACTAAAATGTTGTGGTATTGTGCGAACAGGGTATTTTTTAGTACATAATTCATCAACATATTGACTTTTCTTCAAAATCTTTATAAAAAGTAGTCTATCGTATTTGTTTTCGCCATATATAATGTCTGGGAAACGGAGTAGCCTGTTAACTGTAGTGCATTGCTGATCAAGTCAATGACTTGGATGAAAGATACTAATATTGTATGAATAAATGTTTGGAGGATGTCAATAACGTGACAACTACTTAAACAAATTGAGCTGAATATTTCTGCCAAAATATTCACAGACTTAATGGAGATAGTATTCTTTTATTTTAGTACTCTCCTAGGCCTTTGTACTGACAGCTTTGTCCCATGTTGTTCTTTGAAGTAACCTTGAAAAGCCACTCGAAATGCCACCCAACTCGGTACGGCAATCAATAGTTTTATTAATACTTAAAAAGTCAAACGGGGCGAAGCCCTCGGGTAACAGCTAGTTGTGTATAGATTTGATGTACGTGTACTTACGACTTTATTTAAAACATATTTATTTTTAATGGTACAGTAAAAGTAAGATGACTGATTATAATTTCAAAAAAAGGAACTGAAAAGATTTATAAAACAAGTAATAAGATAAGAGGTACTGAAATAAGGGATCAGTTCAACGAACATTTAGGACTGACACAGTCACTAAGTTCTAAAAACAAATGTTCTAAAAAACTATTTTAAATTACTTGTAATAAATATTTTTAATTTTTTAGTTTTTAAATTGTAATAGAAGATATAATACAGTTCTCAGTATAGCTTCTAATTTTTTCTTTCAATTGTACACTATACAATTTCAGAACTTAATTAAAACCGTTTACAGCTTTGTATACTGCATGTAAATTTGTGTTTAAAATAATTGGTGTTGACCTATACACTTTCAGGCTGTAAAAATCAATATCAAGTTAGAATTTCTGAAGAGGATTACCTACCAATGAATCGAAGTATGAAAGAAACCCTGTTAAATGGAAAAAAAATTCAGCGTGTTGTGCCAAGACCTGTCGCATGCAAGAATTGCATTGTTAAAGTAGAGGATAATACAAACAGCAAAACTGTAGACTTTGATGAAGGCGCATCATGCAAAGGAAAAGTTTTAAACGATGAAAATCGAAATGACCAACATATATTTAGGGACAGTTGTTACTTACAGAATTCTTATACGCCATGCAAATATTTATCAGATAAAGCTGGCGTTTTAACACCAATAGTTACAGTAAAGAAAAGTGAAATAAATCTAAAATCACTAAGCCTTCCAAACAACAAGATTGAAGACGAGGCATGTATTGGGTTAAGTTCACGAGATGGACATCTAAGAAAATCTTTAATAACAAACAGACAATTTTCACTGATAGATTTGAATACTTGCCTCGGAAAGTCAGAATTCACTTTAGATCTTGAGAAGAAATTAAGAAAATCGAAACGGGTGCTTGGATTCGATGAGAATTTGAGTGATTGGAAAGAATTTTCGTACAAAGGAAAAAGTAATACTTGCAGTAGAAGTACGAAGGAAAACATAACAAAGGAAATGTTTAAGCGAAACACCACAGAAAAAGCAAGAAGAAATTTGTTTCAAGTATCTAATCCTTTGAATGATTATCGTCCCCAAAACTGCCAAGTTTTAGGTCTATGTAGTATTGGGAAACCTCAGGCATTTTTGGATAAAACTAAACAAAATACATTGCACAATGCTTTCCACTTGAATAAAAGAATTCCAAGTTGTCAACATGTTGAAGCACATCATAAAGGAAAAATTTCTAACTGTGACATATGTACACTTGAATTTCTTACGGATATGAATTTTCATCATGGTGGAAGAACAACAACAATCGAGACACAGAGTAATAAAGGTCAGTGTAAGAATGTTAGAAGCAACAATGTTTTGGATAAGAATATCAGAATAATAAATAATAATAATGGTAATACCTGCATTGACGTAAAGGTGAAACAACAATCGCCCCCAAATACGACTAGTATCATAAGCAGTTCTCCAATGTTGTCTCGAAAAACCAGTTATGACTATACTAACGCTCACATAAGAAACATGTTTCGATACAGTAACTCAACCGACGTAGAAGAGATTTATAAAAATCCATCTTGTGAAGAACCTTCTGTTGGTAATATACCATCAAAGTTGGGCAGACCCTCCCTACACCGATGTGTAGCTAAGAAATCAACATCTAGAAGACTCAGTCACCGGTCGTCAAAAAATAAATGTGGATTATCTTCAACATCCACTTCTTCTAGTTTTGTTTCATCATCCTCTCTTTCAACGATTATATCTTACAAGAGAGTTCGCAGGATATTTAAAACAATTATTGAAGGGAAACAGGTGAAAAGGCGCAATAAAATTGAGATATCCAAGTTTAAAGAAATGGAAGAATTAGGATTAGGCAAGTTAATAAACAATCGTTGGCAACCCAGTGAATACAAAGCGTTGTCTATATGGAGGGAGATGCATGAAAATGTACAAGGTCTTCGGGGGGAGTTTATAAAATGTCATAAGCCTAATAAAATAATTTAAAACTAATAATTTGGGTCCCATTAATTGTAACTAAGCTTTTAGCGAATTTCCCATATAGGGAATAAGCTATTGCCGTAGTACTCATGGTAAGACCTGGACGCGGGACCGATTTCTTTTTTAGTTTTGAGGTCCCTAGAGGCCAAAAACACCATCCGTTCAAATTCATATATATATATATATATATATGTTATATATGTGTGTGTCCGTTAGCGCGATAACTCGAGCAAAAATGATCCGATTTTTATGAAATTTGGTACAAACATGTAAACCTACATTTATTCGAACGAGTTCGCGATCCAGCATAATCGGACCATGGGAACAGGGGTTTATGGGGGATTTTATGGGGTAAAAATGGGGTTTTCCCATTTTTGACCCTAAAAACAAAAAAATTTAGAATTTCTTTCCCAACCATTTTGTAGAGCTTAAAAAAACAAATAATTTAGTATATTGAAGTGTTTTTGAATGTTCATTGACTACGGAGAAAATTTAAAAAATTGTAAATTTGAAATTCCCATGTTATTCTTATGGAGAATAAATAAACTGCTCTAGTTTGCTTGTTTATGGATATATTTTAATCAAATTTGGCAATTTTGTTTATTTCATACTAATCTATCAATATTTCAATTGAAAAAACACATCTCAACATCTTCCCCTTATCAGCAAACCTAACTACTCAATAAAATTAATGTTATAGGAAATAAATCTGAAAATTTATAGGGAGTATTTTAGTAGAAATCAAGCCGGGTAAATGGAAATTCGCTTAGTATGCAGGTTTGCTGTGACGGGGGTATTTTATTTTGTGTTTGTAATAGTGCAGTAAAAGTCATGGCCAACACCGTAAACAGCTGACTAATGAAATATGATTCGGTTACAATTTTGACTAACTGGATTAACTGTTTGATGATAGTGGAACTCAAAATGAATATGAAAAATTGTAAACTCATGTACACGTCAAAGTTGCCAAAAAACGAAAATTGAAAGTTGTTAAAAGTAACGATAACCTTGTTTGTCCATCACAGTTATGGACGTAGGTACGTCATTCTGTCGCCCTTGGTGTGTTTTGCTGTTTGTGATTCATCATAATTATTGAGCTGTCCACGAGGACTTGGTGTTATCCATCATTGCACGTCACAGATACCCATTCCCTCTGCCTTCCCTTCCATTTTTGCTTTCAGTATTTCATACTTAGTTTCACTCTTTGTTAGGCATTTTACGACTGACTATTGAATGAGTTTAAGGATTCATTCATCTTTTAAAAACTTAAGGATATTTTATGAGTCTACGCGTCTATACTAGATTGATTATTCAAGTCATACACTAGGCTAAGATTAATATTTTAAATATAGCCCCAATTGATGGTTGAATATTTTTTGCTTTAAAAGATATACACAAATATTTGAGAATGTACATCTAGGAAGTGTTTATTAAAAAGTTCAATTGTTTAGTGTTTTAATCGTAAGTTATAAAATGTTCTCTTTTAAGAACTAGCTGCTGCTATACTCAGGCTAAAAGAAAATTAGCCTACGTAAAATACCTAAAACCTACGTAAATACCTAATACGTAAAATACCGTAGTCTACGTAAAATACTTTTATTGGATTTAAATTTGTTTGAAAGTAATCCACCCTATCACATGAGCGTAAAGATTGGTTGGAATTCAATGCAAAATACACCACAATATTGGTTTTGAAGGTCTACTTTACCATTGACCATACACATAGCATATTAGGGATTACAACCAGTTAACAAATAATAAAAATACAGTTATTTAGGAAAATAAACAGGACCATTTAGTTTTGATTTTTTTTAGATTTAGGTGAATGCAATTGAAGACGTTGAATACGGAACAGCTATCAAACACGAAAAATTAAGGCCACGCTAATTTTGATATGGTAGGTGTACTGTATTACTTTCTGGTGAAGGTGCTAAAAATACTGTCCCAACCGAAATTGGTCCAGTAAAGACAACAACACAGCGACCATATTCAGTCTCAGGAAACACATATCTGCAAAGTTGGTAAAATCATATGTTCCATTATGACGAACATAGGCTGCACACTACTAATTAATCGTTGGGTCCTTTATAAAGGACCCTTTTAATTGTATTTTTAGTTTATGAATAAGTAAATTGGAAATTCCACCTGCACATTTTAAACATGCACTGTTCCATTGAATAGCTCCTTAAAGTGGATAAAAATCATTTCCACACTGACTTCATCTATAATGTATGTTTGTTCGTATGTTTGTACATATATTTGTTTGTTTGTCCTTTATGGACTCCGAAACCGCTCAACAGATTGTAATGAAACTTTCAGGAATTATTAAGCGTTATTCAAGGATGATTTGTGTGAAGTTTGGTGCAGATCCGTCAAAAGGGCTCCGCCCCAGTGGCTCTGAAGATTCCCATGTTAACCTTATGAGTACTCACATTTAAATGAAATTAAAGAATCTTAACAGCTGGTTAAACTAAACAATTAGATTCTGTGACGTTCAATAGAATTAAAAAGTTAATAGGTTTACCAACAGGGTGCAGCACTATTATTCTTTTTTAATTTATGACAATAGCTTGCAACCAAAAGGTGAGTGAGCGTAGCGAACGAACTTCATCATGGAGGCGAGTTAGCGTAGCGAACGAACTAACCTGAAGGCAAGTGAGCGCAGCGAACGAGCTCCAACCTATAAAGGTGAGTGAGCGTAGCGAACGAACTTCAACCAGGACGTGATTGAGCCATGCGAACGAACTCATCTTGAAAATGAACGAGCATTTGACATAAAACCACATTAGGACAGGACAACGTCCGTCGGGCCAGCTAGTGGATAGATAAAAAATTTGCCTTCAATTTTATTATTTGAACGGTAGATCTGATTGGATTTGACCAGTGAATCATGTCTACATACACCCGGATATGAAGAAAAAATTGACTTGTGTAAGTTATTAGCTTGAAAACACTTAACTCAACTGCAGCAAACTCCATAAAATATCAACGTTATCAGCTTAGGGTACGAACTTGTCTTGTATGCTAGATTTCAGGAAGAAGACGGTTGGAATGTATGGTGTACATCTTAAATTTGCTTAAAAAATGTGTGTAAATTAATTTACGAAACAAACAATTAAACTAACAACCTTGCCATTCGGTTTAAATGAGAACTGTATGTAGCTTCCTAATATGACTCAACTCATTTCCTTTTACTTATCAAAACATGTGATATTCAATCACATAGAAAAATACCATAACTACGTACATAAATGAGCAAATTTTTATAGTATCTTATATCAAAGATAGTATTTTCCCCAATATTCATCTTCGAGCAACCGAAAACAATCAGATGCTTGTTGTCTCTCCCTTGGTAAAATCTACTTTCTCTTCTTCTCATTAAGTTCCGCATTTGCCCACTACACTAGTATCCACTTATAATTTATTCATGTCGTTAATATCTGCTATTTTGTCGTAAAAAATGCAGACATAAATAACCATAAGCAAGTTTGCTGTGGTTATAGTATGCTAGTATGCAGTGCATGTTTATTGCACTATAGATAACCTTAAACTTAAAATTTTTATTTTCACGTTGTTATGTTGGTTTTCCAAAACCTATTTACTTTAATGTTTATATTTAAATCGCGTTAGTTAGGAATTATGATAGTTTTGAGGTCTGTTATCCTGTATGTGGGTGTTTTTGAGTATGTTTCATACGTTGTACCGAAAGTGGTTTTCCGGCACTTCGCAT